TTCACTCAAGAAACTGGATCAAAGATGCGAAACTGTCGGTGATTCTGGAGTTCACTCTCCGGTTCCGTTAATAAATGTCAAATGGTATTGCATTTCCTCATCCGTTTGGATGATATCATCAGTTTACCTACTAGTGATCTTTTATGCTCATTTTATAATGATAACGATCCTGTGGAAGACTGCGGGGTGTATTAAAGTTTCAGAGGGCATAGACTCCGGATGCGAAGATCGTCGAGAAAAACGTCTCGAATGAAAACAGGGAACAAAAGATGCAAAAAGATAAAAGATTAGCATGAAATTTGTACCCTTCGATACCGCAATTCAAAAATGTTCCCTCTATAATAACGGTGCCGCTGTCAGTCAGTGGCACCAACACTTAATTATGTGTGCAATTTGCTTGTAAGCTGAACCTAGCTGGAGTGAGGCGGAACTCTAGATAGGCTCATTGGCCGATTTTCTCGGCAAAATTTTTAGTGCAAACATGTTCGAACCGACTAGGAAGACGCCTTCCACTATCAACGGAGGCCTCTAGTTTACAAGAGCAATTGAGACCATTCAGAATAACAATAGGAAACTTCACAAGGTCTGAAAGATTTGTTTTCACCACGAAGAACTTCAAAGCAACTCGAACAGAATTGAATTACCGGACTCGGCACAACATCTGGTGTGATCATGCCCTGCAGAAGTACACTGTACCCACACATCACCGTACTCGGCGCACTCCGATGTCAGTGCGCTGTTATTCGAGCATTGTGACAGACAACTGGTCGAAATTCCTTGCTCTATGCAACACTCCTTTGCCAAATCCGCATCTGATGCTAAAATTAGCAAGAATTATTACCTAACAAACAAATCGAAGTGCTTGTTAAAAAATGCATTTATTATCGCCTTCGCAATGTCTTATCCAGTGTCCTATCGAATCAGACGGAGCCTAATTCCAATCCAGAATAGCAGATTTTAGCACTGTTGAATGTAGCAGGAACAGAGTAGCTTTTTCAAAATTTTATGGCTTCAAATAACCGTAGTTACATCTTAAGATCGCTTTTACAGTACGGTTACAGCACCCTTGACTAATGGAAGATCTGCAGCAGTTCAAACTTCATACCCCTTAGGCCAGCCTCGGCAACTACTCAACCTATTTCAATGGTGAATTTGGTAATCTATAACAAAAAGCAAAAAAAGATAATGGTGCTTTTTTTTTCTCGTCGCATCAGTATCAGTATCTGAAGCAAAGGAGGTCCTGAACTAGAGAAGCAAGACTGGAAGTTTAAACTGCTACTGTGAACAGATTAACTCCGCTAATGATTCTATAGAAACACTGTGTGGGAAATGCCTACTTTTTGAGCAGCAGAACGTGTCAGTTTCCGAGGTGCCGGCCACAACACAATCATAACCAGGTGGACACTCCCTTACACCAGCACCACAGTAATACCTGAAACAAAAAGACATTCATGTGAGAAGATATGTGCCCTTAAGAAGCAGTTCAGTGTCAACGACATTAACAAGAACACTACCTGTGTCCATTTGGAAGATAGAGCGGTTCGCCATATGGACAGAAAGAAGAAATGAGTGGATGAGTGAAGAAGACTTCAGCGGTTGACATTAAACTGTCACCAGCGGCACTGTGACTTTGAACGTATACTGTGTATTCAGTATCCGGCTCTAAGCCGTACTCCGTGTGTGGCGAAGTCACATTATGCACCTGCAATCATGAAACATTTAAAAAAGATTGCCACTTACATGTAGTGCGCTTTTGTAGCACTCGGGCAGTAGAAAATGTCAAATGGGAGCGATAGCTCGAAACGCAACAGAACTCTTTAAGAAGCTCGCTCGCGCTCAAATAGTGTCAGAACTTCCAAGCTAGAAACATCTTATGAGCCAAAAACGGATTAGTTGCCCAAAGCAAACTACTGCAACAGCCTGGATAGTAACGTACTCAAAACGATTTTTGTTAAGGCACTTCTTCAATTATCTATAAAAATCGAAAA